CAATTAATATCTTAAGATGATACTTAAAACGATTTTGAAATAAGAAGATTATACCACCCTTAAATGACAATAAGTATAATTATCAATATTTCATTTGTTATATGTCAAATTTTTTTTCAAGCTTTCGAAAATCTTCAGAAATTTTGTTTTGTAATCAGTTAACATGTTCAAAAAATGTATTGTACAACAAATAAAATATTAGTCTAAAATTATAAATATCTGAAAAAAATCTTTGTTTTTATAAATTTCTAAGCTGTATAGGATCAGTTATTTCTAATCTGTTTTATACTTTATATTTAGATAGGATTAAGCTCTTTGTATGACAGACAATAAAAAATTTTAATGATTAAATAATAATAACAATAATAATAATAATAATAATAATAAAACATTAAAAAAGTTTTCAAGTTGCAAATACTAACATAAAACTTAAATAAAATAAATACTAACATAAAACTTAAATAAAATAAAAAAATAAAAGGGTTAGAAAAAGTCATATTTGAGAATTGTCAAAGTTTTTAAATTGGATCTAAAGCACTTACTAAATCTAAAGCACTTACTGGTGTAAATCTTGTTCGATATAATTAAATATAATTTAAATATTAATTATTCAAATAAACTCTAGTCCTTTAGATTCTCTAAATCATTTTTATAATTACAATTTTTGAAATATTTTATATTGACATTAAGGTTATGAAACCAATAGATGGTAGCAGGATGTATGCCTAACTACGGCACTGAAATGCAGTGTCTTCGTATATATACGTGTATTCATATACTTGTTGAGTGTACGTATATCTCTAAGTATTAAAACCTTTCACGCGTGTATAATGCCTGATTTTTGGACTTTTGAAAAATAGCATCATAATATTCATTGATATTAATATAAAATTAAAATTTAAAAGAATTTAACATTAAATGCACAATATGATGATACAACACCAAATATTCAAGAATAAATTCATATTTTTCATATTATGCATAATATTGATGTATTAATATGAAATCAGATTTTACATCTTTTAATAGTATCCTTTTAATAGTATATTATTATTCTTAATTCTATTCTTTTTGTCTACCTGCTAGACTTTAATCGTGTTAATAATCAATATAAAATAAATGAATTTTTTAAATCAATAAAAGAAGATAAAAGAAGATATCCAATATTACTTACAGGTCTGGCGATATTTGCCGGTCTGTTTAGAAGCGAGCCTGTTTTTCTAGCCGGAGTAGAATGATTCATAGTAGGACTGATACTGCCGACTCTGTTGCTATTGCTGGTACTTGATTCCCTACGCTGCTTTTTAGCCGGTCGACGGTCGCCTGTGCCACCGTCGCTTAACCGTTTAGGAGTCTTTGCAGCAGCTTCCTGTAGCAGTAGTTTTTCAGTTTACATTTATAACACAAAATACAATAACAAAAGAATAAAGATCATTTTTAACAGTTGCTGTCGAAAAATGCAAGATAGATTCGTTACTGACCTTGCGCGGCTTTGGCGTTTTGACAACAGGTTTCTTCTCGGCGACAGAAGTTTCCTCTTTGAGTCTGTCGAACAAGGAATCCGGATCTAAACCATCCTCAAACACCTAGTATGCATCAATACAAGAAATTTATTTTCAATAGATATTTTAATAAATATAT